TTATTCTATTCTAGGGTTTAGGGGTTTAGGGTTAAGGGCTTTAGGGTATTGCGCATACCGTAAATCTTCTCTCTTTTGTATTAAGAAGTTTGATTGTAGCACCTAGACCCCCCAAAAGCATACACCCTGTGCATGAAGCTGGGTGCCTCGGCACCAGAGTCTCAATGAGGCAGATGGAGATCATGATGCACTCTTTGATGTGGCTCTGCTTATTCCTTACTTGGAGGGTCAGGGGGACTTAGTAAGTAGGGTAATAATGGGTATACTCGGGGTTACTATATGGGTGGTTGTCAAAATTATGGTCTTTTTTCGGGTCCCTAGTATAGTACGGCACCTACAGTAATATTTAGGGTACCGAAAATAGGGATCATCATTTGACAACCACCCATATGGCTTATAGGGGTTATTAACGTTCCTAAGTCCCCCTGGCCCTCCAAGTATCCGAAGGCCACCTTGACTTGGCAAGGTTGAAGGTTTAGGGTTTAGGGTTTAAGGTTCCGGGTTATGGGACGTTGGATAAGGAGCCGCGCGGTGAGTTTTCTTGCGGAAGCTTAGATATACATTCCTGGCGCTGAGAGGTATCAGCAAAAAGGACAACCCGATCCTAAACCTGGACTGAAAACCATTAGGGTTTAGGGTTTAGGGGGCTATCGGCATGGTAGACTGCCTAAACAAACTAAGACCCCCGAAGGCTATAGTCCTCGATTTAGGAAGCCCAAACAAAGGCCCACATGTTTTGTCATATCCCATGTCGCTGTCCAAAATGGTAGACCCTAAGCCCAAAACTCTAAAACCACCCTCTATATCCCTGCCCCAGATCATAACCCCTAAGCTCTAAACCAACCCTTAACTCTGAACCCCAAACCCTTTGGCATCTACCCTAAATCCTGAACCCCTAAGCCCCGAATCCTAAATCCTAAACCCTAAACCCTAAATCCTAAACCTTAAGCCCCACATCCTACACCCTAAATCCCAAACCCTAAACCCTAAATCCTAAACCCTAAACAGCTGCCCAAAATCCTCGGGCAGAGTCTGGGCCCGTCGTCACCTTTCAGGGCGGCGTGTAGAAAGGTGTAGAAGCCACTGACCTTGTCCGAGAGCATCCTTACAAGACGAAAGGTTTAAGGTTTAGGCTTTAGGGTTTGGGGTTTACGGTCTAGGGTTTAGGTTTGAAGGTTTGATGTTTCAGATTTGGGTTTAGGGTTCAGGGACAAGACGAAAGGTTTTGATGTTTAACCCTATGGGTCCCAGGACCCAAATAATAGGGTGTTAGGGCCCAAATACCATTAATGTTCTAGTATTTGAGCCCTAAAGCCCTATTATTTGAGTCCTTGGACCCTTATGTAGGGTAAGATTTGGGTTTAGCGTTCAGGGTTCGGGTTTAGGGTCCATAGAGTCTATGGGGTTTAGTGAGTAGGGTGTAGGGTGTAGCTTCAGGGTTTAGGGTATACTGTAGGGCTTAGGGTAGAGGGCCTAGGGCTTAGGGTCTAATGGAGAATCAAATGGAATAAGCAATGGATAATGACATAGAAACTGGGATTATGTCGTGACTATTGCAGGTAATCAGGGGATTTGAAATACCCCACCCTCCATACCAAGGATCCTGTCATGGTTATATGATAGCTAAAGGGTCCGCAATGGGAAAGACGCTGAACCAAGCACTCATCCTCAACACAAAAAAACTCTACATACTATTAAGCCAAGCCCCTCACGCCTCGACACCTAACGGCCACATAAACCCTACGCAACCTTATCTCTGAACCAGCAAACCCAAACTCTTCCCTATACCCTAAACCCCAAACCCCTCGTCTTAAAAGGATGCTCTCCAACAGGGTCAGTGGCCTCTAAACCTTCAACCCTGACTAGGTTCCCCAGTAAGCCCCTAATAATAACGGTACCCTTTTTCCCAGTAGATGTTTTGGAGTAGGGCCGGATTCTAGCGTTGGTGCCTCGTGTATGTTGTGTGGAAAAGCAAAGGGAAAATCAAGTAAGACTCTGTTTGATGTAGGGCTTGAACGGATTAAACAGGGATACTACCCCGTGAATGGAAAATCCAATGGAAAGACCAGGGAAGACTGCTGCAACAGCAAAACACTAACCCTAAACCTGTTGTCCCCATTAAGTAGATAGAATAAGGCTTTGGATACAGTACAATAAGATCCCATATACCCCATATTCTATCTACTTGAAAGCGAACTATAAGCCCAAGTCCAAGCATCTCCAGATCGCTGGCGAGGCTTCCGAAGTGGTAGGTGATGTTGTCACTGTGCCCTACCTGGTCACCTTGGCGCCGTGCAAGGATCTAGAAACTCGACTCCCCATTATCCCTAAGGGTCCATGTACCCAATATTTAGGTTCTTGGGATTTGGGTAACAGTAATTATAGTATAGGTTTTGGGTAAGTATATGATTATTAGGTACTTGGACCCTTAGGGTATGATATGCATACGACTCTTGGGCAATTTCTAGGAACACTCAAGGGGATCTATTTTCTAGAGCCGCCCAGGGGTCTGGGGCTTTGTTGGGTTAAAGCCCGCCTGGCAGATGATTTGTTTGCTTCCCTCTGGCTAGCAAGGAATCAAGGCAGGATACCGTAATGTAGTTCCTGTAAACCCTCCAAAATACGTCAGCTTCCAGTTTCCAGTCCTGCTGCTAACATGTGAAACCTAAACCACTCAAGGCACCCTGAACCCTTAACCCTAAGACCTAAACCCTAAATCCTACCAAACCCTAAGACCTAAACCCCAAATCTAAACTGCTCAGATCAAGACACTGATGAGGCCCGAGAAGTTCGTCAGGTTTACCAGTGCCATTGGCAGGGCCGCCGCCAAGTCCGCGTATATGGCCTGGGTTTAGGGTTTAGGGTTTAGGGCCGGAGCTAGGCTTCACAGAGAAAGGTTTAGAGCTCAAGTTTTAGGGTTTATAGCTTAGAAAAAAAACATCTACGCAGCAGAAGAATCCTTGCCACACTAGTCTCTAGCATAACATAGTATAATATACTATAATATGCTACAATATAGTGCCGCATATACATATAACATATATATATATAGAGTATACTGTACGATAACATGCTACAATATACTATATTGTCCTAACGTTTCCGCTCTGCCATTGAGGTTAGCTTGTCGAAGATTACCTTGATTGCTGGTTGCGAGGAATGCCGCCACAAAGTAGGGTTTAGGGTTTAGGATAGGGTTTAGGGCTTAGTGTTTAGGGTTTAGGGTTGAGGGCCCATGGCCGCAACTGGGTAGATAGACTCTCTAAACGCTAGCTTTACCTTTAACAGATGACTGCCCATAGAAGGCACTAGGTTTAGGGTTCAGGGTTTTATACGATGTTACCTGGACATAACCCTAAACCCTAAACCCTAATCCTCAAACCCAACTTTTTCTTCTCCTGCTCAGGGCCTTGTCGACATCTCCAAGTGGATCTAGGGACACCGTCTCCAAGGGATCGTTGCTGGTTTTGCCTGCGATCTTATACCTTAGTCGTCCACAGGGTTTAGGGTTGGGTTTTGGGTTTTGGGGCTTAGTAGGGTCTAGGGCTCTCCTAAAGCTAGCCTTTTTGTTTCTAGGGGTTGCCCCAATAAAGAAAAGTTGAACGCTGCATAATTCACAGGTAGGATGCCCCCGGCCACCAGTTGCAAACAGCGCGATGGCTGAGAGCGTAAGGAGGGAGCTCAGCTGCTTCATTGAAAGTAAGGATGGCAAATGCCGGGCGGACTTTCGCCGCCAAGAAAACTGCTTGAGCCTGGAATTCAAGCAGTCGGATATATGTTAGGAGGACCCCCCACCCTGTAATAGTGGTATAATAGGAATATAAGAGGACCCTAATATGATCCATATTATTATCAATAATAGTCACTATTACAGGGCGGCGGGTCCACCTAAGATATATGCGTGAATTTCTAAAACTGAAGCTCCGCAGCTTGTAGCTAAAAATGTTTTGTTATGTTGAAGCATATCCATGAGGATCCTCGCAAAAGAGGCTTTCATTTGCAAAGCCTTCAGATGAGTAAGGTTTTTTGGTTGAACCAAGTAAGATCATGTTCTTCTAGAACACTATATCTACTATACCGGAAGGAGGCTAGATGCTTCCTCTGTATGAGGATATGTTGTAGGGACCATAGAACCTCCCTGAACAGCAACCCGATTCAGGTGAACAAAAAGGTTCAGGATTTAGGGTTTAGGGTTTAGGGTATATTTCTATGGACCCCGAACACCTACCCATGTAATTCCTGCTGAGGGAAATTTCCCTACATAACTCCCCTTGCCCAAACTACACCTTGAAGCCCTTGAAGCCTAACCCCTTAACTCCAAACCCTTGGTGGATGCGGCAGTGCTGTGTGTATGCTGGCTGCCAAGTCTGCTTGAATGCTGTCAAAGCAGGGCAGTCGCCAATAGCGGACCCCAGTTTAAACCCCAACATAGTCATCCTTAAGAAAGACCCAACAATAAACCCTGAACCCTACTTCGGTACAATCTCGATGGATCACCGGCAGCATGATTCAACCGCACAGTGTTGACAGTTTTCATCGGTCCCCCCCAAAACCCTGTATTGTCCCCTATAGGTCCTCCCAACCTAAATTTAGTCCGCAGCTCTCATACTTCCTCAAAGCCCGTGCGGCAATTACGACTAGAAACCCCGCAATTACCAAGTTGTTGGCTACCTGGACCCTGACTTGGTATAAGCCTAAAGGGTCCAAGTACCCAATCATTAGGTACTTGGGTTTTGGGGAATGGTAATTGTAGTACAAGTTTTGGGGGAGTATATGAATATTGAATACTAGGACCCTTAGGTAAGCCCAGTTTCGTAATAATCTCCCAGCAGCCCTTTGAACCATATAACCCTGGATACCCTATATAACTCGATTTCCAATAATCCTATAGAATATAATCCTAAATAGCTCTATATAACCCAACAAACCAAAGTAGCCCTACAAAATCTGTCTATATCACCCACACGAAGCCTCCCCCACAAAGTACACCCTCAATGTGCCTGCCCCCCAGGAACTGAAGGCGTTGGAGGGATCTTGGCTGGTTTGGCGATAGGGTTTAGAGTTTGGGGGTTTATATTTTTGGTTTGAAGGTTTGAGGGGTTCAGGGTTTGGGAGACTCCGGATTTGTTCTCTGGGGTCGCGAAGGATTGAAGAGGAGGTGTTCAAGGCTTGGGGGGCGTTGTTTTCTTGCGATTTTCGGGTCTAAGGTCCAAGCTAACTCCTAAGGAGTGAGCACTACACCGATGGAAAAGCACACCTCGCATCCCCTTTCCTGGGAAAAGCCAAACATCTGCAAACTAAGCTTGCGGCCGTGGCCAAGATTTCCTGAAGCGCCTGACGCGGTGTCAGGTTTAGAGGTCAAGGCATTTTCAACAAGTGCTCAAGGCATGGGAGCTTCTCAAATTCCTGTATGCTTTGGAGGGTTGAATTGTGGATTTCTTTGTAGGTTTCCCACCCCCCATGGCAGACTGGCCCGCCAAAGTGATGTAGAGGCCTAGATAATTAGAATAGTTGTTTCGATTTTGTTTTGCTACAGCTAAACACAACTACATAAACATCGTGGGGAATCGTACGGGTCATTCTTCAATCTCATACAGGCCATCCTTAGCTAAGTTATGTTTTCTCCATCTGACCTACGGGTTGGAAGACATATTCCCTGAAGCCTGGTAGATACTCTTATCTCAATTTCTTGTTAGGAGTAGTGGTAGCAGAAATGGACACTCATTTTTGGGAAGCCTTAGATGTATTTCATCAGGTTGATAAAGGGCCCCGTTATCAACTTGGGGTTTAGGCATTAGGAGCACCCCCAAATCCAAACCTCCCGTTAGGGGGTCCTAGGACCCATATACACACCAGGGGGTTCAGGGTTTTAGGGTCAGTGTTTGAGGTGAGTTTTAACCAATACTTACAGACAACAATGACTGCATGAACGCCAATCCTTAGGAAATTCTTGCTGGTCTAGAACCCTAGACCCTTAACCCCAAAGCGCGTGTCTAAATGGAGACCCTGAACTTCATTCCTGCTAGATCACAGGGCTCTTAATCCCTAAGCCGTCCCTTCGTCTGCCTCAGTCCAGGCAACCCTTGCCGCTTGCCCCTATAACCCGAAATCTTTTCATCCTAGCCCGTAATTAAAGTCTGAGTTTGCAAGTAAACCCTATTCCTACACCCTAACCTTTCAAAGCTCTGAAAATCTAAACCCCTCGAAAGATAACACCCATTAACCCGCACACCTTAAACCCCGTGGCTGCTACTTTTGAGGTGCCTGGTACTTCTTCATATGACATACATCCCGGGAACAGCTGCGATGCAGTGACAGTCCCCACTACGCCGTGATAAGTTGGAACAAACTAATCATAGTACCTGTTTCAGAGAATTGCTACAGTAGTGTATGGAGCCAATCAAAACGTACATGACTGGTTTGACCAAGTGCATCGCACAGCAGGCACGGATCAACAGCCGACCCGCAAGCGTAAGCGATGGAAGCTCACTTTCATTTTCGTGAAAGGCATGCCGCATACTGGTGAGAAAAACCCTGTGTCACAGGTTTTGAAGATCCAAACCCCACGCCCTACCTAAAACCTAAACCCCTAAGCCCATAAACAGAAAGCCTGTGCTCTGCAGTGCTCCGGAACCCTAATCGCGTTTCAATCCTTGAGCCCGGCTGCCTTTTTGCGGTTAGGACTCTTACTGGCAACTCCCAAAAAGGTACTGCAGTGGAGGGTATATCCCTAAACTTAAGGGTTTTTGGATTAGGGTTCAGGGGTTTAGGGTATTTTGCTAGAACTTGAAAGCCCTCACCCATCAAACATGCGCACCTCGCCACAAGCAGCAATTCTGGCCACAAGGCTCAAAGCTCGATCTGCGGGTGGAAGCATTTAGGGCTTAGGGTCTAGGATTAGGGGCTTGAAGATCTACAGTTTAGAGGGCCGAGCACTGTAATTAGAGGACTGAAAATTCATTACCGACATCATTTTCAAGCGTATTTGTTGTACCCTATACCAGAAAAGTACAGGGAATCTAGGACCCCGATCTTGGTGCACCTGCGTGACTCGTGTGAATACAAGGGTTTTGGTTCATTACCCCTGCAGCCCCAACCCCTCTAACTAGGGCTAGGCCAGCTATATGATGAGAGTCATGGAATTTCTATTTGGGGGCCGGGGAGAGTTTATAAGGGGACTCTATTGGGAACCCCAAACAAAAGAACCTCAAGAATATAATAAGAACATAATAGAATATAAGGACCCTGGTAGGTATATTCCTATTATATTCCTACTATATTCTTAGGGTTCCCTGTTACCCTAAACCCTAAACCAGTCCCTTTAGTTTAGGAGTCCACAAAACCAACCCTCAGCCCCAAGTCGCGAAATCCGATGTTTCAAGACTGTCCTACCATAGGGATGCCTGGGGCTTGTAAGGCTATCCCTGAAGGGGCGAAGGACCCAAATAATAGGGCTTTAGGTCCCAAATACCATTTATATACTAGTAGTTGGGCCCTGAAGCCCTATTAATTGGGTCCTTGGACCCTTATGGTATACCAGGTTCGCTACCACGAGAACTTTTATTTGGGGTTCAGGTTTCAGAGTTTCACGGAGCATCGGGAGATTCGGGATCGACATTTTACAGCTGGCCTTGCCAAAGCAGACTCGACTTACTGGTTCTCAGTAGGGAATAAGGGAATATACCCCTCATGTATAATCCTTGTAAATAGATTCCCACGTTCCCTACTAATAAGCCCTGAACCCTAAGCTTGGATAATAGCTTTCCATATTCCCTACTAGACCCCAGTAAGTTGAATGGCCATAGAATCCAACTAACTGCTGCAGTTTGTGAGGATCTGCGCGCTAAGGACTGTCGTAATCCCCCTAATAATAATCCCTGCCGTACCAACCTCCCCAACATAATGCAGTTGTATACTAGGGGAAGATTAATCAGTAGAGACGTAGAATACACCTATACACTCGGCATGCTCCCTTAAAGGGCCTTCACATTCTATGGGTTCTAAAGCACTATATGAATATGGATAGTCTTGTGATTTTTTCTAACCTCATAAACCTTGATACGAAGTAGATTTACTAAGTCAAGAGCAAGACAGCCTCCCTAAACCCTCAACCCCTTCAGCTCCCCCTCAACCCTAAACCGCCAAAAGTCCTCAAATCATGGTCCCTGAATCCCTAATCCCCAAATCATTTCTTTGTGGGCTCCATAGAAACCCTTCCAACCCTTTGACTTGCTGCTCTCCGCCTTTCTCATCCGACACTCGCTGTGAGGATGAAGCCATGGCTCGAAGCTATTCTTACCTCTATTAATTTAGGGTTTAGGGTTTAGGGATTAGGGTTTAGGGATGTGGGTGGTTGTCAAAATTAGGGTCCCTTTTTGGGGGTTATATAGGGATAATGGAAAAGAAAATGGAAAGAACTATAATGGGTTATATAGGGGTTACATAGGGTTTGATATAGGGTTATATGGGTGGTTGTCAAAATTATGGTCCCTTTTGGGGTCCCTATTATAGTATGGCACCTAATATTTAGGGTACCCAAAAAGGGACCACAAATTTTGACAACCACCCATATAACGGTTTCTGTAAAGCTTTAGGGTTTAGGGTTACAAAGGGAGAATACCGCAACAATGAAAAATCGAATGGACAAAAGTTCTCGAAGTAACCCCATTCCTGCAGGCTGACCAAAGCTTAAGGTAAGTATTTGAGATTTTCGAGGAATCATGGCTGAGAGCTTTACCCAAGGGCTCTTATGTAGTTCCTTTTTGCGTCTGTTATGGTTTTTTGGTAAGGGATTATAGTATACTACCCAAAAAGGAACTACATAGGAGGGTCTGGGTAAGGTTAAGGGTTCGGAAGGGAAGGGACTTTGTCATGGCCAGACTTTTACTGTTCCTCTTAGGCCTTGGAGTCTAGGATTAATAAGTTCGGGGTTTCCTGAAATAGGTAACCCCAATGAGAACCTTAATCACCGTACCCCTTACTGTTGGGCGTCCTAAACTTGCTTTTTGGGGGGGTTTAGGGGTCAAGGCCTTGTGTGTAAAAGCTGGAAACCTACAACAAATGTACCGTCCTGCCCCAAGTCCTTGAGAGAGAGAACCATAGCAGAAAATCTCACGCCTTCCTGCTTTTTGAGTTTTTTCTCAAAGGTTTAGGATTCAGGGTGAGAGCGGGAGAATAAAACTAGCTTGCTGAGTTCACCTCAGGTCATGGGATGTTCCTTCAACCCTAAACCCCAAACCCTAAACCTTTGAACTATGGGATTCTTGGCTCTTGGAGATTCCCTCCAAGGTCCCTGTATTCCATCATCAGGTACTTTAGGATTTGGACTATACAGCTAAAGCGTGCAACCACGTCCAGGGTGTATAGGGTTCAGGGCTTAGGAAGACAAAGGATCCATTCTGCAGAAATACAAGGCAACACATACCCCCTACATATACAAAGGATCCGGAATGTCAATCCATAATCTCTTCTGTGTGTAAACCTCACGCCTAGCCCTTATGGATTGGCAGGTATAACTCCAATATTATGATCCCCTCCCCCCAGCATAAGAATCCCCCACCCCCTAATCCCCCACCCCTAAAATTGAATGTTCCCGAAACCACATAATATACCGCCATGGGAATATGTCTAATATCAACATTACGGGGTGCGGGTTTAAATATTGGAGGGGGGAGGGTGAATCGTTTCATCGCATGCGCCTTGAACCTTGTAGGGGTTGAGGGCTTAGGGCTAAGGGTTTAGCAGCTTCATCCATACACCCTACCAAGCATGGGCCAAATGTAGATGACATCTGTCGGCTTTTGGGCGAAATGAATAATACCCTAGACCCTAGACCCTAAAACCCTAAACCCAAAACGCTGAACCCTAAACCCTAAGCCCTCAGCCCAGGTAACATATTCAAACGAACAGCCAGGGGCAAACTTTAGGGTTTGGGGTTTTGGGCTTAGAGTTTAGGGTTTAGGGTAGCCGTAGTGCTCTTATTGACAGGTCTGATAGGGCCGTTTTGGGGGGTTTCGGGTTTGCTTGGGAGAGGAGCCCGGGGGAACCATGTTTCACCATATTCATGGACGACTGTTGGGCCACCATGATTTCGCAACATAGACCCCCGAAACACTATAATCTTTGTAAAAAAAGGGACCCCCCAAATGTTGAGAACCCCCTAAACCCTAAACCCTGTATATCTCCTACGTAGCCCCGATATGCTATGGGAAATTACTACCCTAAACCCTTTTAGCAAAATCTTTTGCCAGCTAAACGCACAGGTTTGAGGCCTCTTCGAGGAGTTCAGGCCTCCAACTCATACTTTTAGATCTTCAGGCTTCAGAGTTTAGGGTCCCAGGTTTGGCTTAGAGCTTAGGGTTCAGAAGGTTCAGGGTTTGGGGTCTAGGGTCTGTAGGATTCTTCTGGAACCGCTGGATCTGGCGGCTTGGTGGCGTAGAACTCCGCGACTGCACCCAGATTGGGCGCGGCGAGACGCTGTCTTGGCAAGCTAGTTCGCTGGGGGGCTGCTTGCTCCAAATCATTTGGTAGTTTCCCTAAATTACTGTTCCCAAAATGGGGGAAATTTATATAGGGCCCCGTATTATAATGGGAACCCAAATATAGGATTTCGTATTATAGGGAATTTAGACCAATACCCATTTGGATTTAGGGTATAGGGTTTAGGGTCTAGTCCCCCTTCAGTAGATAGAAGAAGGGGTATATGGGGATCTTACTGTGGTGTTGGGCAAATCCATGTTCTACCTCTTAAGGGGGACTATAGGTCAGGCCCGTACCCACTGAAAGTGGGCGCGGGCATAGTGGTGTAAGTATCTTCAGGTCCTTATATATATATATATTCCAAATAGGCTGCTATTATTGGGTGGGGGGCCAACCTAACATTAAGGTCCCAAACCCTGAAGCCCTGACTCCTAAGGCTTGCAACGCCTAAATGTCCAAAACCATGAGCTTCATATCATTATACCCACCCTTAACCCTGAACCCTAAACTCTACCCAATTCACTGCTGCAGGACTCTCATGATAGAGGTGCCGGGTAACCGGACTAATCTAGAACATAGAATCCACTTTAGGGTTTAGGGTTGATTGTCTTCATGGTAGCGCCAACTACGACATGGGGTTTCAGATCCAGTCGGTTAAGAATGAGATTGTCGGGGTCCTTATTTGGGACTGCGGAGGTATCTTCCACATGGCGCGGCGATGTGCAACTAAAAGCTGAGCTTTGTGCTTTCTACAAAAAGCGGATCTTTAGTCAACACGTGCTGCTCGGCCGGGATAATTGCTCTTCGATAACAAGGGTGCTTCTAGGGGTTACGTAGGCTTATTATACCAGAAGCGCGTAAGAATACAGAGGTGTATAGGCAATGTATAGAGTTTCCCCAAAATCCATGTCGAAATGTTCTCCATACATGTATACATGCGTGTATGTATATATATATAAGCACGTCTTATAATTCTTATCGACCATGTTTCCCCTCGTGGCTACGCGCCTTTCAGGGGGGAGCAGGTAGCAATGTGCTCCTTTTGCCCTCTTTTGGGAGAAAAAGAGCGCCTGGAGGCTACACTCTCACGGTTTCGGTTCCTTCCCGCCGGCAGCCTGACTGCACTGGGATTACAGGTTAGAATTCGGGGTTTAGGGTTTCGGCTTAGGGTTTCAGGTTCAGGGTCTGGTGATGCGGCATGAAAATCGTAGTAGATGACTAGATATGATCCAATTGTTGCCCGACTTTTGGACTCTGCCAAGATCAGGGTGGTTGTAAGGTGAGAACCGGCCTAAGGAGTTCAAAAATGTCCCACGTGCGGGGCAGCTGGGGTCCTACTGGTGGTTAGTAGGGTAAGGATCTGTTAATCAGGGAGTGTATTCCCTTAGGCCCAAAGGGTCCATGTAGTTATATGGTATATACTTGGGCTTTAAAGTAGGTATATGGGAACCCGTTTGGGCCATAAGTATATACCATATACCTACATGGACCCTTTGGAAGGAGTTTGTCATCAGTGCCTGCCCCTACGTGCGGTGGCCCGAAACAACTAACAAATGATCTGACGCCAAGGAACCATCAATTGAGAGGATTAGGGGTTTAGGGAGAGAGTGCTTGTCGTTGCTCGACAAGAACCCATGCTCAGACATGAATCCAACCCTTTTGGGTCTAGCACTTCAATAAACTCCAAGTTATACTCTCAACTCCCAGTATCCCTTTTTAATACCCCCTAAAATGCTCCCCTGTCTTATCCCCGATATAGCCTGCTATGAGGAGCTTAGAGTATAGCTCATCTCTAGGTTTCCGAAAACTAGGAGCACCATCATTCGGATTCCCACAATAAGGATTAGGATATCTTGCAGTCTACATTGAGGTATGGTTCATAAGGTTTACGGAACTATCATCTTGAAACCCTTGCAATATTCTGATCCTATGATCACTGGCCTCATGGGAAACAGAATGAAGACCTTGCGTACGGTACCACTTACCCCAAGAAGGATTTTCAACTGAAGGCTCTCAAATAGTCGAAATTCACTATACAACAGGCCCTCCTAGCCCAAAATCCATTTTTGCATAAACGCACACATGGGTATAAACGCACACATGGACAGGCAGCCGTGTAATCGTTCACGAGCTTCCTCAGCTGCGGCATCAACTACTATAGGGGTCAAGAAACATAGAATATGATTGTGACGCAGATTTGAAGTAGCCCGTTCTCAAATTGTTCTCGACAATCAGGACCACAATATTGATCATTACCTAGGCCCCACAGTAACCAACAACACATGAGCCCTTTGGCAAGGATGTCTGGCTACGTTCGACTTACCTATCTGCGTATGCACCAGCTATGATATCATCGGAATTTCCAAGAAAAATGGGTCCCTCTTGAATACTCCCATATATTCCGGCCCTTAGTATAAGGGCTCCCCAAACAAAAGGACTTCTGATTGTTGGAAACCAATTTCTTTTATCGGACACAGAAACCGTACGTGATTACTTTGCACACCTGGGTCATGTGGAAACATGAGCTATGGTCTACGCTCCTCAAAAAGGGGCTATATACCCACAGCAACCAGCACCTAGTTTTTGAAAAGAAAACCTGGTTTTTGGAAGACAAAGTAAAACCGGGCTTTGCGCGACGGATTTTTACGGGTTTCGCACGGGTTTTGAGTTTTGCATGGGAAGCCAAGTGTTTAGCAAAAAATGCCTAAAACACCGGTTCTTGGAGCGCTACACCTGCTTTAAAGCAGGTTTTGGAAGCCATAGGTATGGATTATATAAGGAACCACTAACTAATTAAGGGG